GCCAGCTGCAAATAAAAAAAAAGGGAGGGGAAAAAAAAAAAAAGAAATAAAAATAAAATAGCTGGGAGGGGGCCCGAGATCAGGCGGGGAGCGGGTCCCACCCTGCTTGTTTTTCAGCCCCTGGGGAGGAGAGGGGGGAACGGGCCAACGCCGAGGGCGAGGAGCTGCTTGAAAATGAAAACAATTTTCAGAAAGAAATCCCTGACTGCAAAACACGTAGGGGGAGGCCTGGCAGAGGCGCCTGGAGGGGAGGGACGGAGGGAAGCAAGAGGAGCGTACCGCGGTGTTACTGGTCCCGTCCCGGCACGCTGGTGCAGGGGACTGGTGGGTAAGGGGAGCTGCGCGTGAAGGGAGAGAAAACAGCAAATATGGGCGAGTCTTTGGTGCTCGGGCCCCAACCACCGCTTTGTGTTTGCAGAAGTGCAAACGTAACCTCCAAAAGCCAAAGAAAAAGTAGGTTCTGGGTTCATTTTCTTTAAATTGGTGAGAAAAGGAGGCTCCTGGGGCTGGTTTGCAGCAGAGAAGATGGTATGAGGACAAGAGGTTCTTTTATTTCGGTAACATCCTGTTGTGCCATTAGCTCCGCCGCCGTTTTGCTTTGAGGTTTTTCACTTGCTATATTGAGCGGGCGTCAATCACAGGCGGGGTGTGCTGGCTGCGCCTGCCCGCAAGCCCTCCGGCCGGGCGGGAGGCTCCCATCTCCCGGCTGCCCCGAGAGCATCCTCCTCCCCGCAGGGGCATCACCATCGCCACCCCGGCGCCGGGCTCCGCTCGGGAGAACGGAAGCAAAAGTGTCCCCCGCGCCCTCCACCCCTCGGGGTTATTCGTGGCTTTCAGAAGGCTGGTGGTCTCTAAGGCCCGTAAGAATGGCTGCGAACCCCCCCTAGATCCCAGCAGCCCGCCTGAGGGTGCTTTGCAGGGAGAGGAGGGGTTGGGGGGGGGAATCTGCACCATCGGACACCCTGCCCCAGCCGTGGAGCCTCGTGCAGCCATGGCCAGCGTGACCTTTGCCGAAGCGCTCTGGCTAACGCTGCCCGCGGCGCATGCAGCGACACATCCCCGGCGCTGCTCTGCGGCAGAGGTTTGCACGGCCTGAGCTCCGTGCTGCCCCGTTCCCACTTGTTTTCAAGCCCCGGCTGCTCCCCGTCCTCGGATGCTGCTGGGGCCGGGATGCTCGGCGCAGCTGGCTGGGTATCGGCACGCGGCGGAGTGGGGTCCCCCGCCTCCTTGCCAGCGTTGGGAGCACAAAAGGCACCTCAGATGCGTTTCTCAATACCTGCTGCAACGGGAAGTGCCCCATTCACATCGAGGGTCCCCCGGGAGCCAGGGGAAGGGAAGCCGGGGCTCTATTGGAGGAAGCCGTACTTCCAACACCTTGCGAAAGTATCTGCAGGAGGCTTTTGTTTTCCACCTCTCCCCCTCAAATAACAACAACGGGGCCGTCCCGCTCATCGCTGCACAGTTCGCAAAGCCGTGTGCCTTACTAAGCCGTCCAGCCTCCACCTCCGGGGCTTGATGGGAAGCGTCTGGATGGAAAGGCAAGACAGCCCACGCTTTCGGCAGCGGCACCCAGCCGCGGGGAGGGGCGGAGGTTACCACATGTGCGAAGCTTTCAGCATTACCAACTTCCCTTCTTTCTCCCCAGCAGGGGAAGGTTTCCAAAAGCCAGCAAGCGGAGGAGAAAACAGCTTGGCGTGCCCCGTAGCAGCGCCGGGGGAGGTGGTTTTTCCCTCCCCTAGCTGGAAGGAGGCTTTAAAGCCATGCTAGGTGCCAGATGGTGCCCAGAGAAACCTGGATCCAGCTCGTGGATCTTAATCTTCCCTGGGTGCTCTGGGCTTCTTCCATGCCCAGACCCCAGGTTTGGCTCCATCCCATCCCACTCAGACCGTTTGAAGTCAGCGCCGCTGGCAAATGCCAAAATAAAGCCAGATGCCCGGCTCCACGCAGCTCCAGCCAAGAGGTTCAAGACGAGAGCTGTCATCTTGTCACCATCTGGTAAAGAGGTCCCAAGCGGGTGCCAAAAGTGCCCCTCTTCCCCTTTGGCACCCCGGTAGCTTCGGCTCCTCCCCGCCAACCTGGAGCGCTGGTGCATCCCCGGTGCCGGCACCACTGCCTAGCTTGAAACCTGGGAGCCTTCCATCCGGAGAAAATGGAACGCAAAAAAGAGAAGTGCTAAAGCCGAGGAGCCCGTGCTGCTTTGCCACCAGACAGCCGAAATAAAATGGGATTTCACGTCAAATTCTGGGTGGGTAAGCAAAAGCCTCTCCCGGTGGCTTCTCCTACATTTGGTCCCTGGCTGTGGCAAGCGGGTGTTTGATTTACACCCCTGTGACCTACAGAAGTGATTTACACATCATGTCACCTCTTTCCACGCTGGGGTGGGGGGGTTGTGGCCTTTGGAGGGGCTCACCCTGCTGCAGAGGAGGGGCTGCCAGAGAAAGCGAGCGGCTGCTCAGTGCTGGAGCGAGGAACCCTGACTTTAATTCCTCTTCTGGGAGTTTTTGTAACAGCCCCGCGTGAAAGCGCCCCAAGCCCCATCGTGCTGTCATTACGCTTCAGAGTTATCAGCTGGGCGAGAAGTGCAGGGGCATCCAAGCATCGGCAGGAAAGAAAAAGGAGAGGAAAAAAAAACTTCCTGAAGATGCGAGGGACACCCATGTCAACAGCCCTCATCTCCCACACCCCGAGGAGCCAAATGACTTTTCGGCGGCGGGGCTGCTCCCAGGGTACCCATCACCCAGGCCGTGGGGAGCTGCTGGCCCCCTCCAGAGGGTCCTGCCTTGTTCCACTTCCAGCACGGCCCTGGCTCAGGGACAGGGTCACGATACCAGGTTTGCACTTGGGATGTGATTTTGGAAAGCCCAGCTCAGCTGCTGTCCCTTGGGCGGAGAGGAGCTGCTTCCCCATCCACCTAGCTGCCAGCATCCCCAAACTGTGCAGGAGCTGGATGTCTCCAAGGGCTCTACTTCTCCATCAAGCCCTGCTAAAATTAACCGGGGCTTCAGAAAGTTTTGGCAGGCGTGCGGCTGCACGAAGCTCGGTTCCTCTGGCACCAGGCTCATGTTGAACATCGGCGTCCAAGCTCGGTGCGTTGCAGAAGGCCTGACGTTCAGTCCCAGCACCCCGGCTACGTAAATGAAATGATCTCAAGCCCCGTGGAGATGCTGGGTATCGCTCCCTGATGCCGAGATGAGAAGCAAAGCACGCTTCAATCCGCACCAGTCTCGCTGTCCCAGAGGAGAGAGGAGAAGGCACCCCCTGGCCCATTCCAGGGGGACATCATTTCTTCCTGGGGATGTGCCGGCAGAAATCCTGGAGGCGGTCGCTTTGCCATCCCGGGATGGAGGGAGAAGCCAAGCCCAACAGTATGCTCGTCTTCCACCTGCGCGGGGCAGGGAGGGACCGCGGTTCTTCCCAGCTTCATTCTCTGACCCTTCATTGACAAACTGCGGTTTCAATTGCCACCGCCCCTGTTTCATCACCTGGCCCCAGAGCCCCGGTACGGAAATGCCGACTGCCAGGGCTGGTGGGGTGGCAGGAGTGAAGCAGCCCCCCTGCCCAGAGCATCCCCCCCCCACGCCGGCGAGCGCCCGGCAAGCTTCCAGCACTGGGAAGCGCTCGCTCAGGGGAAGGGAAACTCGGTGGCCACGCACGGTGGTCCTGGCCCAGCCGGCTGCCCGCCTGAAGAAGCTGCCCGGCACGTCCCAGGAATTACGGCGGAGCGGAGCATCTCTAGAGAGGGCACCCCAGCCCTGCTCCCCCAAACCGCCTCTCCCCGCTGCCCCGGGGCTGGTGAAAGGCTCCTTCCACCGCTGCACAGCCGGGGACCTCCGCAGTGCCGGGACAAAGTGCCGTGTGGGAACGGGGTGGCTTCTCCAGCCCGGCATCCCCGGCAGGGGGCTGGCGGGGACAGGGGGTGCTGCTTCCCTTCCACGCACGTTTGATCAAAGCGAAGGAGGAAGGAAGAAAACCCAATCCCAGAGTTTTAAAACAGCAGCTCCCCCATGGCCCCTTTCCCCCAGTGCAACCAACATCACGTGAAACGCTGGCTTGAGCTCCCCCCCACTCCGAAATCACAGGGTGAGAAAGTAAATAACCCCCCCGAACACCCCAAATTTCTCCTGCCGAGGCGCAGCCCCGGCTGGGCAAACACCGTACCCCAGCGAGGAGAGTTCCTCCGGGGTGGGGCGGTGAGGAAAGCAAGCTGGAGCTTACCGTGGGAAGCCAGCAGGCAGAGCGTGGCCAGCAGTAGCCCAGGCGGGGGGGACGTGGCCTCCATCGCGGCTGGGGCGGCCGGCGGGGAGCTCGTCTCTCCGGAGCTGCCCGTAAGCTCTGAGCAGCCCCGCAGCGGCAGCCAGACTTGCACGTACAGGAAATTTCATTGAGATATTGCACGCAGCGGTGGAGAGAACTGCGAGCCCCCCCAGGAGGTGAGATGCAGCAGGGAGATTTGGGGGGGGGGGGGAGCGGCAGCACCCCCACGGGGCACCCCACGGAGGGGTGACACTTCACTCCCCACCCGTTTGGGCAGCAGCGGGGGCGGCTGCTGCTTTTTTTTGTTCCCCTTAGAGCATTGCAGGGGGTAGCTTGGAGCAAGCTGATCCCCCTGTGTGTGTTTTCGGGGTGCACGAGAGGATGCTGGCTGTGCCGGAGGAGCTGTGGGTGCTGGTCCCCATCCCTTCCCCAGGGGGAGGTGATCCCCTGGGGCCAATCTCCAGCTTGCTTCATTGACTTTGCTTTTAATTACTGTTTCTCCTGGGTTTGTGAGGATTAAGCAGGCAGAAACCCCTCCTGGGGTGAGCAGGAGGCGGGTACAGGGAAGGGTAACTCAAAGCGGTGCCAGCTCGGAGAAGGGAACAGAGCTTTCCCCCCCCCAAAAAAAGGGGGAGCAGAGGGTAAAAGCAGCATCACATAACAAATCCTCTGAATTTAAAAGGCCCGGATGAAATCTCCGGCCAGCTGGTTGCAAACAGTGCAGGCGGGCGCTTGTTCCCTGGAAAGCGAGGCCCGGAGGCACGTGGAGGTTTGTAACCCACAGGAAACCTTGCTGCTAACCTGTTCTGAATTTGGAGCATGCAGTGAAGTCGAAAAGCAGCTCGTTACCGCGTGGCTTTGTGGTTTTTGCAGCAAACAGGTCTGTGATGCTCTCATCAAAAAATGTAAGCTGTGTTTGGCAGGAAGGAATTTCTTGCTGGGGGAAAGGTGTAGGCACCAAGTCCAGAGACTCCAAGAAAATGGCTTATTTGTCCCGAGACCACATCTCTGAGCCAAGCCCTTAGGCAGGACGGCACATACGTGTCACCTCCCCGTCCCCAGGTATACCCTCTGGTGACACAACCGGGAGACACTCTTAGGTAAGGACATCCAAGTCAGGTACCCTCAGAAGAGGCTCAGGACAGGCTGAGCCCAACCAGCGGTGAAATTGGGGTTAGCAGGTAGATGATGGCACCTGAGGGAGGAGAGGCCAGGTGTCTGAGATGCTCAGTTTTGTTCTTCTTCTGAGCCATGGCAGCAGCATCTCCAGGTACTTTCCATCCTACCACATTACCACCCTCATTAATACCAACCAAGGTGTCCCAGTGTCAAGGTGAGGACACACACAGGCCTCCTCCAAAGGCATGATGGGGTTCAACCTCTGGCTTTCCCTCTGCCATGGGCTGCTCCCCGGTGTTACCAGCAATGCTAAAAAACAGATGAAAAGCAGAAGGATCCCACAGAGATTTTCTTTGCTTGGGAACAAGGGTGTGATTTAATCTCTGTACGTTTATCTCCGTACCCAACCATTACCTGGAGATGCATCTGCAGCCATGGCTCATTTCATTTTGAGCCCTGCACCCCTTTTGCATCTCTTGGCTGCGTTGAGCCCACGTTGGTCATTGACCTGGACAGGTCCAGCCTTCCCCAGCCAGCTCCAGCGGTTGCGGAGCCAATCCCTCCGTGGTGCTTAACATGATGTCTCCATGTCCCACAGGCCACCACCACGGTGTATGTCACCGTCCTGGACGAGAACGACAACGCTCCTGCTTTCCGGCAGCAGCTGTATGAGGTGACCCTTGATGAAGGTCCTGCCACACTCAATGCCACCCTCGTCACCGTGCAGGCCCTGGACCGGGATGAGGGACCCAACGGCACGGTTGCGTATGCCATCACCGAAGGCAACATCTTGGGTACCTTCCACATCGACAGCGCCACGGTCAGTAAGGATGCTGGCCCCATCCCGGTCATGCCCCTGTCCTGCTCCTCTCACTCCTGGCCACCCTCCCCTCGCCTTGCAGGGGCAGATCCGCACCGTGAAGGAGCTGGACTATGAGATCAGCCACGGCCGCTACACCTTGGTTGTCACCGCCACCGACCAGTGCCCCATCATCTCACGCCGACTGACATCGACCGCCACGGTAGGGAGCTACATCGACCTCCACGGTAGGGAGCTGTCATAAGGGTTGCAACACTGCTATCTCTTTGGGGTCGAGGAGTTCCCCCTCGTGTGAGCAGTTTCGTATCTCCTTCACAGTGGTCACCGGTCACTTTTCCCAGCAGTCACCAGTCACTTTTCCCAGCTGCAGCCAGTTTGCCCAATTGCCATCACCCCATTCCCTCATGGGGGAGGTTGAAAAACAGGGACATGGGCAAGGGATGCTTGTGGGTTAGTTAGCCCACAGTTAGCCCAATTATTTGGTCGTGCAAAGACATAAACAGAAGAAATTCCCTCAATTGTTTCTAAGTTGCATTATATTGTCTTTAGAGGTCCCCTTGGTTCTTCTTGCCTGGAGGGACGGTAGACAGTAAATTATTGCTAAAGCATTAATTTCTGCTCCATCTTTATCTTCTCAGATTATTTATCTGCTTTTTAAATTCCTTTTTCATTCCTTGTATGGAGGTTATTTAAAGCCTCTAGTCATTTTGGTTGCTTCTCTCTATAGTTCTTCTATTTCTCCTGGACCACAGTGACCTGAACTTAACACACTGCTCAAAGTGCGGGGAGGGCAGACTGACGGCTCCGAAGCAAATGTTTTGCAGGAATTGAATACACCAATTAACTTTTGTGACTGAAACCAAAATTTGAGGGGTCGTATGGCAGACGTTGTCCATGCCCAGACTGATGTTAGGGTCTGCAAGTGGAAGGGGTCAGTTAGAACTTCTGCCTTGGCTCCCTATCATGGACCATTGTGCCTCAAGCATCCAGCCAAATGTTTTCTTGTCCCCCGGAAGGAGATAGGTTTTTACGTGTGAAGAAAAAAGATAAACTGAAGGGGAGATGCCAGTGTGGGAGATGCCATAGAATCAGAATCGTTGAGGTTGGCAAAGCCCTTTAAGCTCCCCCAGCCCAACCCACAACTTGAGGCCGGTGCCCCTCGTCCCATCGCCCGTTCCTTGGGAGCAGGGATGGACACCCCCCCGGCTCCCCTCTCCTGTCAGGCAGTTGTAGGGAGTGATGAGGGCTCCCCTCGGCCTCTTCTGCTCCAGGCTGAGCCCCCCCAGCTCCCCCAGCCGCTCCCCAGCAGCCTGGGGCTCCAGACCCCTCACCAGCTCATGTCCACAGATGAAATCTGTCCCTGCGAGCCCAGCAACACTATGCTTCAGGTGCGTGCATCTGATGCTGCTGGAGATGTCTTCCTGGTGCAGGAAAACGGCAGCAGAAACCCCGAGACCTTGGGTCTAAGTGCTGGTGGGGACGGCAGCAGCTGCCAGCGTGCTGCAGGCAAAGGCAGAGCTTCCCCTGCTAAAGGCCCAAGCAGAGGCATGAACCTGGAAACCCCTTCAGCAACAAGTACTGACGCTAGAAGGGATAGGAAACACCCTCCCTACAGGGCCCAGGGAGTTTGTGCCAGCACCGTATAAAAACATAGCTTTTAGGAGGGGGGTGGGGGGTGTTAGTGATTATTTAAGATCCCAAGTGATGGGAAATCCATCACCCTGATAAGGTCTGCCAGTGTTTGTTTTCTCCACTGCTAGGAAACGGAGCGGAGACTCAGATACGCTCTGCTGTCGAGATTAGATGTAGCCAGTAACAAATACTGTCCTTTAATCCAGGAGGTCGGAAAGCTTCTCAGGTTCAGTATCTTTCTCGCGGCCACCTGGACCACCAAAGCTTAACCTCTTATTAGCCACTGGAGACTCTCTTCTTCCAGCAGGGCTTCTCCTCTGCGCCGGTTCCCCAAAGCCTAGCAAGGGGCTGGCCCTCTTTTCAATGCAGTATTGAGCTATGGAAATGTCTTCTATGAGGCATGACTCAGTTAGAAAGCAAGACTGGAGTTCCTTGGATCCCCAGCTTCACCAGCAGCCCCATGGTCTACTCTGTCCTAAAATTGTTGATGCTGTCCCCTCTTTGAGCTCTGTAGGGTTGATTTCTAGCCAGCTAAGTGTGTCATAGGATGGGATGCTGGGAGGGGAGGCACGCCAGCGGTGCTGGTGGTGTTTTGTGTTGGAATAAGGCTGCAAGCTGCCAATTTTTTAAAGTTTACTCAGCATTAGGAACAAAGCCCCTGGTGAGCAAGCGTGCAGCTGGCTGTGGAGGTCAGACCTCTCCAAACTCATGGCTTTGATGGTCAGATCCATGCCTGTGGGTTTTGCCTATCCAGCTTGGGTTTCAGGATGTGAATGTGGAGAACGTTTGGCTTTTGCATTGACTTCTCCATGATGGTGCATGGCCCAGAGGTTGAAAAGCCACACCTGTGTGTGGCTGGAGTTTCATAGTGTTGCTGTAGGATGAGCATGATGAGGAGTAACTGAGCTGGAGTCTCTGAACTGTGATGCTGGATGTTTGGTGAACCCAGCAAAGCCAGAAATACGGGAGGTATTTTGCAACATCATCTGTCCATGGCTTCCCATGCTCATGGCTAACGGGCTGGTCTCCCCTTCCATCCCTCTCCTCTCACTGGCCTCCACCCTCTCGCCCTGAACCACAGGTGCTGGTGAACCTCAACGACATCAACGACAACTGTCCCACCTTCCCTCGGCCCTACGAGGGTCCCTTCGATGTCACGGAAGGGCAGCCTGGCCCACGCGTCTGGACCTTCCTGGCCCATGATGGCGACTCAGGACCCAGCGGGCAAGTGGAGTACAGCATCATCGCCGGGGACCCCCTCGGTGAGTGGGGACATGGGGGCATCACCTCTCCTTTGGGCTGCCCCATGGAGCAACCCGGCTTGCAGGAGCAGGAGCACAGGCGGAAGCGTTTCAGAAAAGCCATCCTCCCCGCCGGGCGCTTCTGCGAATTCAGCCTTTCGACACCAGGAAATCCTGTTTGAGCAACAGGAAACTTAACCTCTTCGTGGCCGCCCAAGGGGGTGGCCAGGGCTTGTGCAAGGGAGGGGGGAGAAATCTGCTAAACAATAAAGGCAAAAAAATAAAAAAGGCAAAAAAAAAAAAAAAAAACCAAACCGCGGAAGGAGAAAGCGAGACGTACGAGCGCACA